AACGTCTGTGTAGAACTTAGACTGCAGTCACGGTGGCAAGCAGCGGCAGGAGTGCTGGAAGCGGTGTCAGCGTGGGAACAGGACCAGAGAATTCATCAGGTCTCTCACTATCCAACAGAGCCTCCCTGGTTCCTGCCTGCGGCCTGGACACAGCTCAAGGCATGATCCATGCCCTGGCCCCACTAAGGAGATGCAGCCCCCCGGTGCAAGGGCAGCGTATGGCCTGCACGGGCCGTGGGCACAAGCAGACCGGGAGGAAGGACTCGCCGATGACTGAGCTGCCTCCTGAAGGATGCCAGAGAACAGAGGCCGAGACGCAGTCAGGCCGAAAGGCGGTTGCCTTGCCAAGGGCTGATCCCAATTCAATCCAGGCACTGCATACGGTCCCCCGAGCCCACCAGCAGGTAGGGCGCTCGCCTTGCATGCAGCTGGCCTGCATTCACTCCCCAGAACCCTTCAGGGTCTCCTGAGCCCACCAGGAGCCATCCCTAAGAGTAAGATCTTAGTACAGGGCCCGACCTAGAACAATAAAATCAGAATATCTGTGTATGAGGCAGTGTTACGCGTGGCGTATAACTACAGATGATCCTATTATGTAGCCAGGATTGAGTCGGTCAATCTTTGCTTTGCACTGTAGGGGCCCTTGCTTAAGGCCCATTCCTCCAGGAAGTCCTCCTGAACTTCTCCTGTGCAGGTGAGCCTTGTTTAAGTGTCCCAAAGTCCCAAGGGCAGACCCGGGGCACTGCTGAGAGCCTGTATGCTGCTGGTGGTAGAGAGGACGGAAAGCCCAGGCTTTGCCCCTTGAATTACAGAACTTCTCTGACATCTCCGCCACCTGCAGAGTGGGCACTGGTGAGGCCCTCAGAGGTAGCCCCTCCCGGCGACTCCCCAGGCTGACACGGGCTGTGCGTCCTCTTGCGCCTGGACTTCCGGCCTCACGGGCATCCAGGCGAGCCCCTGTCCGGTGTGCTGGGGGCAGGCCCAGCTCTCTCCTCAGAGCCTCCTTTCTTCGAAGGCCCAAGGGTGAGAGGCTGGCAGGGCTGAAAAGCCGGCAGGCCCAGCCCACAGGCCGCGTCCACCGTGCAGAGAACCAGCCGCCCGGGAGGACTGGCCGGGGGCGCAGGGAGCACGTCTGAGGGCCACGGTGAAGAGCATCGAGAGCCTGGGCAGGACACAAGGGACCCCCACGAGGCACCTGGTGACCTGCACCAGAGAACGGCTGTGTGGCGGGACACTACTGCGCGCTCTCAGGTAATCCTAACACTGACACCCACATGCAGGCGGCTGCAGTGTTAGGAGCCGGTGACAGGTTAGACGAACGCGGGAACAAGACCTGTGGGAACGGGGAGACGTTGGAAGCCCGAGTTTGACCCCCTTCCCCCAACAGAGCAGACCTGCAGACGTGGTCCCCAAACAAACGAGATGAAAAGGCCGTCGGCTCCAAGCCCGGCGTTTACTGGAGCGGCCGTCGGCTTGCAGGAACACCCACTCATTCGGAGATGCGCCCCCCCGGCCGCTCTCCCCGCGGTGGGCGCAGAATTTGGCTGACACCCGCTCCCGGCGGTGGAGAATGCCCCGTCAGGGAAGAAGCACCCCAGCATGACCGGTAGGCGTGTTTATAAAGTTTTTATTTCGTTTTCTTAAAAATAACATTTGTTTCCTTTATGTATGTGTGGGGCAGACTTATTTCCTTGGGCTGAGTAATAGGCGGGTCAAGACAACACAAGGCGAGTCCCCAAGTGGACGTGGGGGCTGGAGCGAGAGGGGCCGGGAAGCCGGGCGGGGACCCACGGGGGGGCGGGGTGCCCATCAATGCACACACACGGTCTAACACTTGGTTTTGTTTTCGGGTATTTTTTTTTTTATGTTTTTTGTTTTTTTAAGACATCTAGAATTACTGAGATACGATTTCTGCACTTAAATATACAGACGGAAACCCAAGCACTGGGACACGATTCTTAACTCTAAGCTCGGTGACTGCACAGAACACGGTTTAATTAGGCTTCAGGCGATAAAGCGGTTTGCTCTGCTGGGGACTTCCTGTGCCAGTCTCGGACCCCCTTCCTGCCCCCCACCCCTGGGAACCCCCCGGGTCTCTGCCCTTCGACCCCGGCCAGCCCACACAGCCTCATCAAGATGACAGCACAGCTGGGGCTGGGTGCGGGGCACTGGGGAGCGGGTGTTCCCGTGTGGGTGCAGATGGGCCCACCTCAGGGGCAAAGCAGGAAGCAGAGGGGTTGGCGAGAGGCTGCAAGGGGGAAGTGGGACCCCTCAGCGCTCTGGCGGGGCCCGAGGGGTGCTGAGGACACGCAGCAACCCTTCGCAGGTTCCCCAGCCCCTTCCTGTGTCCCCCATACCATCCCCCCGCCCCAGCACCTCAGGCCCTCTCTGAATGGTCTCTCAAGGCACATGCGTGTTCTCCCACCCATCTCAGGGGGACCCACCTCTCCCGGCATCCCAGGCGGCCCTGGGCGGCGCCAAGGCCGGACAAGTGCGTTCAGCCTCTTCACCCCTCAGCCCTGCCAGCCTAAGCTGGGGAGGGGAGGGGCGAGGGTGGGGAGAAGGAGTCACGGAGGTGCCAAGCAGCCCTGCCAGGGGCCCACCCTGTGCTCGCGAGGAGCCCCAGCTGGCCTGCCCAGCCCCTGCTCCAGGGACGGGCTCTGTCCACTGCTGGGGCTCCGCAGGCAGGGCGGACCGAACCCACCATCTTTCTACCACGGATTACAAGGTCACGAAAACGTGCAGGCCATGAGATTGGGCAGGGTGGGGGTGGGGGTGGGGCAAGGAACAGCCCCTCCCTCCCTCCCCGGCCCCTGAACACCCCAGCGTCCCGACACCACGCAGGGCAGAGACAGACAGACAGACAGACAGACGCCAATCCTAGCAAGCAGAAGCTTCAAGTAGCTCAGAGCGAGCGGAGGGCAGCGTTTCCCTAAACTGAGCCGGGTTGGGCAGGGCCTGGGCAGAGGGGAGGGCGCCCTGGAGAGGGGGTCAGTCCCGGGGTGGAGGGGGACACCCTGGAGAGAGGGTCAGCCCCGAGGCAGGGGGATTGCAGCGCCCTGGAGAGGGGTCAGCCCCACACCTTCACGCTCAGAACCACACTGCAGAACCAGAAGCGGTTTACAGGAAAGCGGGGGGTTCACTGTGTTCCCCAAGCAAGGACTGGAGGGAGGTTGGGTCCTGGGGGAGGGAAGGGGCGGACTCTGGGTTTGGGGGGCGGTGGTGGGCATGAAGTCCAGCGGGCACAGGAGACACTGCAGGAGCCAGAGGGCCCAGGCCGGGGGTCTCTCCTAGAGAACTCACTGCCCTGTGCGACCCCTTCACCCCACAGCCCCTCACATCCCAGACCCCCAGAGCGGCCGCTGCACATACACACGCCTGCGGGTTCCCACACACGCACCACAGGCTCCCACACACGCACATGCATGCAGGCACATGGGCTCACACAGGCAGGTTCACACAGGTACACACGCATGGGCTCACACACTTGTATGATCACGCAGGCTCCCTCATACACATGCAAACACACAGGCACGTGGGCTCATACACAAAGGCACACACACCCACACGCACACAGGCGCGCACACTTCTGCACATGCACACGTGGGATCACACATGCACACACACGCACGCGGGCTCACATACGCACGCGGGCACACATGGGCACACACACGCATGCATACACATGGGCACACACAAAAATGCTGCATTCACCACATATCCACGGGCTGCCAATGCCCAAGTCCGGGCAGGAGAGTCTTCGGTAACGTGACAAAGGAGTTTGTTTGCTGGGGGTGGGCAGGCAGGGGAAGTCATCGGCCATGGGGGCTCCTTCCTGCAGAGGTCACGGGGTGGGGACACAAAGGGCCCCATGGCCACAGAAGCGGCTGCCCCACCCCCACCTGCTATGACAGGGCCTTAAGAAGCCCCTTTAGCAGAGCAGAGCGAGGGACCCTCAGGGATGGGGGGAGCAGGGGCAGTTGGCGAAGGGGTCTGGGCAGAGGGAGCGGGGGGCACCCTGGCCCCCGACCCTACCTCCCGGCCCGAAGAGCTCTCCGCACTGCCACTGGGTGGGACAGCAGAGGGGGCTGCGCTGGACAGAGGGCCGGGCGCGGGCTGCTGGCCTCCGTTCCTGACTGCTCCCGGGATCTGGTGCCGAGCGAGCCCCATCCCTGCACCCCCCGGCACTTCTCCCCAGCCGAGGCGTGTGGAGTGTGTCCAGTAGGATGGAGCGGCCCGGCCCAAACCAGCGAGGGCTGGCAGAGAGTGGGGAGGGGACCCAGAGTCGGGAGCAGGGAGAGCGGGTGGTGGAGATAGGAAATCCAGATGGGAGTGGGGGGCGGGCAGAGGCAGGGGCGTGGGGCAACGCTGGGGTGTCTCGTGTGATTCAGGTCGGCCTTTCTGCATGGCGGGTCTGTGTGGTTCCGTGTATTTTAGAAGCAGCAACAAAATGAAAGAAAACAACGTCCAGGAGGCTGAAGGGGGTTTTTACCATGACTCGCTCTGCCGGAGCGGAGCCATGTAGACTGAGGACAATCAGCACATGCCCCTTGGTCCTGCATGCGCGTGACACACACACACACACACCTGCACATGCACACATGTGCGTGCTCTCACAAACATGTGTTCACATGCACGCAAACCTGTATGTACCCACATGCCCCCCTCACGTGTTCTCACATGTGCACACGTGAGCACATGCAAACAAGTACTCCCTCTCACATACACTCGCATATGCATGACTCACACGTACATACATGTGTGCACAGAACGCCTTGGCACACGGGCACAAATGCACTGCCTCTCACACAAATGCATTCGCACACGCACAGCTGCACTCACGCACACTCACGCACGCCCTCACACACGCACACGCCTTTCCCACCGCCCAGGCCGCACCCGCCACCCGCACTCGCACCCCCCTCCGGCCCTCGACCCTCGACCCCCCGAATCCGTCGCTGGCTGCCTCTCCGGGTCCCTGCAGCGTCTCCGGCCTCGCCACTACCAGATGTAGCCCCCGTCATCCGCCTCGCCCGCCTCCTCCTCCTCCTCGGCCTCCTCGCCCGCTTCCTCGGGCTCCTTCTCCTCCTCGTCCTCCCAGCCAACGCCGCTCCCAAAGTCCCCCGAGAAGCCCACGAGGTCATCTGCGAGGGAAGGGACAGGGTCAGGCTCCTGCCGCTGGGCGCGGCTCCGTCCAGCACCTGTGCGGCCCCGCCCCCGCGAAGCCCCGCCCACCACCCACCACCCACCTGGCCCGCCCCGCCCCGAGGCCCCGCCCCTCGCCCGCCTGGCCCCGCCCACCACCCACCTGGCCCCGCCCCGAGGCCCCGCCCCTCGCCCGCCTGGCCCCGCCCCTCGAAGCCCCGCCCACCACCCACCTGGCCCCCGCCCCGAGGCCCCGCCCCTCGCCCGCCTGGCCCCGCCCCTCGAAGCCCCGCCCACCACCCGCCCGGCCCCGCCCAGCGCCCCCCAGCGCTCACCGCAGTCGGGGCTCCCGTGCATGCGGCTGCCACTCAGCTCCAGGCCCTGCTGGTCCACACACCAGCAGTCCCCGCTGCTCTGGTCACACTGCATCTTCCGGTAGTAGCCGTCCTCGTCGCAGCTGGGGATGAACACTCCTAAGGGGACAGGACCCAGCGGGGTCAGAGGGGGGCCAGGCACCCCCCGTACCGTCCCACGGCCGGCGATGGAAAGGACAAGGAACCGGCCCCCCTCGGCCACCTGCTCGGCCCGGTGGCTCCCCGCAAACTGCGGCACCCCTTCCTCAGCTCCAGGCGCCCCTCACTCCACCCCCGCCGGCCTCTCTGGCTCTCTGGCCCCCCAGCCTGGCTGGGTGCTGCCCACACACTCGGCTTCTCTTCTTCGCAGCCGGCCGCTGGTCTGCTGCCAGGGTCTACCCACTGCTGCTCCGTCCACTCCAGGTGTCCTCTGGGGTCGCCTGGGCACCACTGCCCATTTAGGGGGAGGCCCACATAGCATGGCCACCCAGCGCCACAGGCGGGGACTCAGAGGCCCGGGGTGTGTCCAGAGGCCAGTTTGTGGGAGGGACAGTCGTGGCGCCCGGGCAGAGCAGTGGGCGGGCCTGGGGGTCCTGGGTATTGGCCCTCCAGCCCATCTGAAGGCCAAGTGGCTCTGAGGGACAGTGAGGTCTGGTGCCAGCCCTCTGGACCACTTCAGTCGCCCGCAGAGCCCTTCCCTGCACTCCCGCCACCCACAAGGTCTTCCCCCCTCGCTCTGCTCAGTCAGCTGGTTTTCATCCTTGGGGGTCTCCTGAGTGCACCCCATTCCCACGCTCCCCCTCACCACTGCGGGCCACAGTGGGGGGGCTCCGTCCTCGGGTGAGTGGTCTGTGTGGGGTCTCCCAGGGGATGCCGGCTGCGCTGTCCCTGGGAGCTGGGCTGAGCGTGTCGGGGTGGTCCCAGGCCCAGCCCTCACCCAGCTCTGCACGCCCGTGGCTGTGCCCCCACCCTCCCCCGATGACGCCATCCCGAGGGGCGGAGGGAGAAGTCTGCCCGCGAGGATGAGAGCGGGGTCCCGGGCAGGGCGGAGGCTGCGCAGTGAAGGTTCTGGGTGGGACCCCCAGAACCGCAAACAACCACAACCACAAAACCCAGCGACGGGCCCGCTGCTAGTGGCGCCCCTGCTCTGTGCTCAGCGTCTTCGACGCCCCCCTCGGGTGGGGTTCCCCGCGCCCCTCCCTGCCCCTGGGTGCCGCCTGGGCCTCACCCGGCTTCTTCTTGGCAGCCTCCTGAATCTGGATGCGTTCCAGCTCCGCCAGGCACGGGGGCTCTGTGGGGAGAGGAGCAGCAGAGAAACGCAGGCGGGGACTCAGCAAGACGGAAGCACCCAGGCTCTGAAACGGGGCTGCCCTACTGCCGTGGTGGGGGGCTGGGTGGGTCACAAACTCGGGGGGCAGTGGAGTCCTGGGGCCCAATTTCCCATCACGCCCTTGAAGCACCTGGCCAGCTCTGACTCTGCACCAAGCGACGCCGCAGCACCAAGGCTAACCCACGGAATCCAGGGCTGGTGGGAGGCCGAGGAGGGCCCAGGAGTGGAGGCCGGGAGAAGCCAGTGTGGCTCCAGGACACAGGGTCCCCCAGCCACTCCAGACCCCTCAGCCCTCAGCCCCAGAAAGCGGGTATTGGCATAGTTTTCTCCTTCCCTTCCCTCCCCTCCCCTCCCCTCCCCTCCCCTTCCCTTCCCTCTCTCCTTCCTCTGTGATGCTCAGGGGTTACTCCTGGCTCTGCACTCAGGAATTATCCTGGCGATGCTCAGGGACTGCACCCTCCCCACTGTACTCTCTCTCGGGTTCCTTATGGTCTCTGAGGGTCTCCTCTGGGCCAGGACAGTGGCTCCGTGGCTGGAGCACAGGCTTCCACGCAGGAGACCTGGCCACCCCCCGCCCCCACCACACAACACACACACACACACACACACACACACACACACATACACACACACACACTCACTCTCCCTCCAGGTAAGCAGGGTGGGGGCAGCCCCCAGCGGACTGGGCTCACTCACTCTCCCTCCAGAAGCAGAAGCACCACTCGGCGGGCGAGACACGGCCGTCCTTGTAGGTGTCGCAGGAGTTGAAGAAGGGGCGGATGCAGACCTCGTACTTGTCCAGGTTGATGGCGGCCAGCTCCGTCTGGTCCAGGAAGAGGTCCGCGCTCGTGTCCAGCTTGGAGAACATCCAGCCGATGGAGTCCTTGCAGCTGGCCCCCAGGTTCTTGTCCAGGCCTGGGAAGCAGGCCGGGGGGAGACACGCTCTTGGTACAACCTCCTGTCCGTCTGTCCATCCATCTGCCCCGGTCTCCATCTCGGGCCGGGCAGCACAGGATGGACATCAGGCGGCTGAGAGCAGGGGAGTACCACCCCGGCCGGGAGGCTCAGCTCGACCTCCGTCTCCTGCCCTATCACCTGAGCCCTGCCAGAGTGACCCCTCGCCCCAGCACTGGGCGAGGAGCTGTCCCGGGCCACTGGACAGGCGCTTCCCCGCCCCATCTGCAGCCGGGATGTAACCCTTCCAGAGAAATGACCTCCCCTGGCCGCACATCTTAGGTTCTCTGCCCCTCCTCCCCTTGTAAGGGCTTCCTGCAAGCCACCCCACACTCCTCTGAATTCTGGGCACTGGGCTCTTTCAGGGACTCCAGCTGGCCGGTGCCCACCCACGCCCCTCGCGTCCTGTCCCAGCTATGTACCCATGGCCGGGCTGGTCCCGCCGCTGCCAGCTGAGCCGTTCTGCTTGGAGTTCTCGTGAAGGAGCTGGAACCAGTCCCGCAAGCGGTCCCCCAGGTCGGCCAGGTCCTGACCTGTGCAGGTCTCTGCAGTGGGGACAAGGGCTGCAGAGTGAGGAGCAGGGGCCGTGACCCCAGCCCGGGGACCAGGAGGCTGGGCAGGGCCCGAGAGGTGAGACCTGGGATGGGAGAGGAGATGGGAGAGGCTCCTTCCTCCCCCTCCTCCCTGCAGTCAGGGCCTGGCTCCCTCCCTCCTCTGTGCAGAAACCAGGGACCCAGGCCCACATTCCCACCCTGCAGTAACCAGAGCCCTAGAAAACCCCAGGACCGGGGAGGACTTCCCTGGCCTTTCGGAGTCTCCAGCTCCAGGAAGCTGCCCCTTCTCCAGGCTCATGCAGTCCCCGAGGTGTCCCCGTGGTAACCCCACGCGGCCTCCTGGCAGTGAGTGCCCCCACCCGGCCGGCTGCGCCTCCTTCTCACCTGCTTTGCCATCCGGGTTGGAGGTGGCCGCCTGGTCCTTGGGGCAGGGGCAGGGCCCCTGGCACCTCACGGCCAGCTGCTTGCCGCTCAGGCACGCCTGCTGCTCCAGTTTGCACTGCAGAGAGGGGACAGGCTGGGCTCGTCCGTGGGCACCCGCGGGCAGCCACCTCTGTTCCCCCGATCGGGACAGGCAGTCACCCGCAAACAGCTGGACGTGACCCCGGCCCCCGCTCCGAGGCTACGAGCTCACGGGGCGAAGGGAAGCCGAGGAAGGGGAGTCGGAGCCTCGGGAACCCCGCGCTGCACTCGCCTCCTTCCGGGATGTTGCCTTCGCTCTCCCCAAGCCTGGCACTGCCCCTCCCTGTGTCCACAGACGGACAGTCAGAGTCTCGGGCCTCGGGGGCCAGAGGAGCCGGACCCGAGTGTCCCTCCCTCCCTGCCGCCTCCTGGGCCCCTCGGAGCCCTCCGGCCTCCTCCTGGCAATTCCTGCCCTCATCCCTTTTTTTTTTTTTTTTTTTTTTTTTTTTTGCTTTTTGGGTCACACCCGGCGATGCACAGGGGTTACTCCTGGCTCTGCACTCAGGAATTAGCCCTGGCGGTGCTCAGGGGACCATATGGGATGCTGGGAATCGAACCCGGGTCGGCTGCATGCAAGGCAAACGCCCAACCCTCTGTGCTATCTCTCCAGCCCCCACCCCTTGCCCCCATACTCCTCCTCTCCCTCCTGTCAAGGTGGCACACCCCACCTGACGCCAATCCAATGGCAGCCTTAAAGGGTTCCCGGGCCCAAACATCCAGCCCTCCACAGGCCAAGCGACACCCCTCCTCAGCTGGTGTGGTCACAGGCACACACAAACTTCAAGGGGTGTCTGTGTGTGGGGGGGTCTCTCTGAGGCCCAGTCCAACCCCGACACCCAAAACGAAGACAGACAAACACAGTCCCTCCCCGGGCTTGAGTGATGCCAGGTACTGAATCCAGGGTCTCGCACATAATAATCACGTTTATTACCTGCTTCCACAGGTACTGGCTCATTCAATCCCCACAAAATAGTTCCAAAGTGGAGGCTGGGGTGGGGCTCAGTGGTGGAAGTTCACATACTCAGTGTTCTATCCCCACAGCACCCAGACACATTCACACACAGTCATACACAAATACACTCAAACGCACACATATACACACTTAGACACATACACACACTCCTAGATACACATATACACACTCATGCACACAAAGACACACTTAGACATACACTGTCAGACATACACATATAAACGCACATTCACACACACTCTCAGACACACAAACACTCATCCAGACTGACACATATATTCAGACTTCTAAACACTCTCAGACATACAGATACAAACACTCACACACAAACCGAGACTCACACACTTATACACTCACAGAGACACATACATGCCCACACACAAACACAAACATATACACTCTCAGACACACACACACAAACATACTCTCACGCACACATACATACACACACTCACACAAACCCAGATACATACCCACACACGTACTCAGACACACACAGACACATCCACATTCACAAATACACACACATATACACACTCAGACATTCTGACACATGCCAACTCACAGACACACACACTCAGAAACACAGACAAACGTGCAGACATATCACATACACATGCAAACACATACACACTCACCCCACCCCCAAACCACCTACCCCCTGGGGAGTCTTTGCTCTGGTCCCACAGCAGGAACCCCTCCTCCCTCCGCCCCCAGCCCCTGGGCAGCGCACAGCCCTCCTCCCGCAGCCCGAGCACTCCCAGGGGAGTCCCCCCACCACTCCGACAGGCTTTCCCTGCTTCTGCCTGGGCACCTCCGGCCTTCACCTGCCTCAGGCAGCACCAACACCGGGTCAGCGGGAGCCCGTGGGAGCCCGGCTGAGGCCCCCGCTCTGCTCCGCGTGCACCCTCCCCAGGGCCAGGCTGCTCACCACCGAGCTGTAGGTGTGGCCGTCGGAGCCACACACGGAGGCCAGCTGGTCCATGTGGCAGGGCTTGCAGAGTGGGTCTCTGCCTGGGCGGGGTCTCAGGGCGGGCTGCTTGATCCTGCAGGGTCAGAGGCGACAGCAGGACGGGTCAGTGGCCAGGCGAGCAGCTGGTCCTGAGATCTAGAGACGAGGCAGTTCCCTCCCTGGCCCCGCACCTGAGCCAGACCCCACTCCGGCCCGCAGAGGGCAACAGACGGGCACTGACTCAAGATACCCTTTGAGGGCGACTGCCCAGTAGGGGTTTCCCGTGACGACTCCAGGTCTGACCAGGATGCAACAAGGAGTCACAGGGTCAGAGCAGCAGTGCAGGGGTTGCGCACTTGCCCGGTGTGTGGCCAACCCAGCATGGCATGTGGCCCCCAAGCCCTGCCTCAAGAGGCCCCTGGGTGCAGAGTCCCCACACACACCCCAAAAGAGACTCACAACCGCTCCAGGCCTCAGACCAGAACAGAACTTTACACGAAAGACGGGCCTCGGGCCACGATTGGCTCTAGAGTCACTTCCTGTGGACACACAGGTGCTGATTTGTTATTGGCGGGCTCAGGAACCACTGCACTGCCACTCTGGGCCCTTACGGTGGTCTTATAAGACCCACTGCCCGTGGACACGCCTCTCAGAAGCTGGGGTCTGAGGCCCCGCCTCAAGGGTCTCCCAGTCCTCGTCACTTGCTCCTGACCAGTACAGGCGACCAAGAGTGTGTGATTTCCAAGACGAGGCCCCAAACAGCGGCCACCTTCCTCCTGCGGCTCTTTCCTGGGCGACCCCCCATGGGAAGCCCACACTGAGGGGAGCGAGAGGCCAAGGCTGCTGGGTGGACGGTGAGCAGTGGGGCAGCTCCAGTCCAGCGTCCAGACGGTACAGCTCCCCTCGATGCCCACCACTCTCCGAGCCCTGACCGGCTCATGGGCCATCCCCGGGTGCCGGGCCCCCAGCGCCATGCTGGCCTCGGAGCCTGGGGCAGGTGGGGCTGGCTCACCTGTACTCCAGCTTCTTGAGGCTGATGCACATGGCCCGCTGGTAGCCCTGCGCGATGCACACCTTGTGGCGGCTGCACTTCACCTTCTGGCATGGGTCCTTGGTGGTGTCCAGGGCTGGGGAAATGGGTAAGACCGCAGTGTTGGAGGGTCCCGGCTCGGGAGCGGGGAAACCCCTCTGTCTCTGCAGCCTCAGCCCCCCAGGCCAAGTCCAGATGTGGCCTCCCCGCGGGCGTGGGCAGTACCTTCATCTCCTTGCTGATTGTCTTCCCAGCTCTTGATGTAGTCGTCCTAGGGGAGGACGGAAGGGCTAAGACTCACAACACAGAGCGAGGCTCCATGGGGAAGGGGGGTTGGGCGGGGAAGACAGCACTGGGCTTGCACAGGCCAATTGGCACCCTGCATCTGGGGGGCTGCCCAGATGACCCCGCCCACTCAGTCTTGCCAGCTGCCTGCCCAGACATCTCTCCCTCTCCCTCTGGTCCCCTGAACCCTCCTTTCCTGTGCTGGGCATGGGGGTGGGAGGGGAGCAGGGCTGTCCTGCAGGCCGCGGTGGGGGCCTGCTGCACTCACCTCCACCTCCTGGCGATCAGAGGCAGCGGCAGGACCCAGGAAGCAGAGCAGGAGAGAAGGAGAGATGGGGTGTCAGTGGGGGCAGTGGTATTGCTTCTTGTCTGTTTGGGGACTACGCCTGGCGGTGCTCAGGGCAGACTCAGCTCTGCGCTCAGAGGTCACTCCTGGCTCGGGAGGCCATACAGGGTGCGGGGCATCGAACCCAGGTCAGGGTGTAAGGCAAGTGCCCAGGCTACGGTTTGATCCCTGAAGCCTCGGGTCAGATGGGGGCATCCCTGTCCCTATCGCAGAGCTCAGCTATGACCCACTGCAGGGGTGAGGTCTTTGGCCTTCAGAGGGCCGGCGCCAGCCCCCTGCGCCCCCACAGCCCGGGAACAGTGATACTCAATCCATGCTCAGGGGCCCTGCTGCGGGTGGGCCGCCGGCTTCGGTGGGGAGGAGGGGCACCAGGCTCCAGGCCAGGCGGCAACTGTGGGAGCCGGAAAACCCACGGGCTCCGAGGTCTCTGACCTTGGCCTTGGGCCCCGAGAAGGGACAGACGTCCCAGCTGAAGGCTCGTGTGACAGCATCTCCATCCGCAGCAGGACACGCAGGCGTTGCCCAGTGAATGCCTGAAGGTCCCTGACCCCCACGCCCAGGGCAGAGGGCATGCTCCCCTGCGTGCAGGACCCACGGCGCCCCGGGCATGCGCAGGAGAGGCACTTGAGCCCACTCCCCAGTGGCAGATGGTCCCACGCCAGAAACAAAGTCCCAAACCCCAAAGTGGCGTTCTCTGGTTTTCAGGCCAGCCCAAGGCCTCTCCAGCCTTGGACATTGCTGCCTGAGCCCGCGGAGCTGGTGGGAAGGAAAGTAAGGAGGAGTGGACACCTCCCCCTCCCCCGTGGCCTTCTCCCTGTCCCTCTCCTCCTGCCCACACCTGGCCCCATGCATATCCCAGCGGTCGGTGACTTGGAAGTCCTTGGAAGCAGGGACCAAAGAGGTCCGCCCAGTCCCACCCGAGTCTCTTCGCCAAGCCCCTCTCAGTGAGGGTCTGGGGTCTTTCCTCCACGTCCTCCAGGGCACAGACAGGAAGTGGGGGTGAGCGCGGCCCAGGATACGGTGCTGAAGCAAAGCAGGAATCACGTCCAGCAGGTGAGCGGGCATGAGGCCGGGAAGGGGGCGAGGAAAGTGGGTGATGCACCGCCTGCCCTGGGCACGGGAGCAGGGAGGGCCCTCGAGGCTGCTCACCAGCGAGCATCCCCCGGCCCCTCCCGCTGCCCCCACTCCACCTGGGTGCACATCGAGCCCCCTCCACAGCCCCCATCAAGCCTCCTAGGCGAGCGCCGTGACCTTTGGGAGCGCAGCACGCATCTCCGGGAAGATGGCACGGATGAAAGCGGGCAGCCTGCAGGGTGCCCAGAGCCGGAGAGTGGCCGGCCATCAAAGCTGTGACAGCAGAGAAGTGGCCACGTCCGGGGAGAGGCTGCCCCCGGGTGCAGGGACGGTCACTCAGAGGGGACTAGGGACACGACGAGGGGCTCCTGAGGTTCGTGGGGGCTGGCCCAAGGGCAAGCTGAAAGAGAGGTGTGAGTGGGACCTTTCTGGGCCGCGCGTCTAGTTATGGTGCCCAAACCGGCTTATTAGGGCTGCTGAGAATCGGTCCTTAGACACAGGGCGTGTCCTCCCGAGACACAGGAGGCCGGGCCTGTCTCTGCCGCGGATTCGTCCACCTCGCCCTCTGCCCTGAGAAAGGGGGGCTGGGGTGAGGGATGAGCCAGGGGAGACGAGCAGGAGGCAGTGACCTAGAGTTCACGGCAGCTCTGCCTGGCTGTCGCAGCTGCCCAGCACAGGGCAGGACCTGGGGAAACTGCTGGAAAGGGCCAGGGGAACTCAGGCTGCATGAGAAGCAAGTCCCAGGCAGGGGAGATGGGACGGGGCTTGAGCACTTGCCCTGATCATGTCTCTCCCTCCTTAAACCCTCTCTGAATGTACAGTGTGGGTCTCCCCTCCGGCCCCATCCTCTCTCTTTCCCTTTCATGGGAGGGGGATCAAACCCCAGGCCTCACACACCCCAGGCAAGATACTGGATCGCTGAGCTGATCCCAGCCCAATCTGCCTTCATTTTGAAAACTCAGCGGCTAGAGCGGTAGCTCAGCGGGGAGGGCACTCGCCCTGCACACAGCCAACCCGCATTCCATCCCAGGCCTCATGTACAGCCCCCACGGCCCGCCAGGAGTGATCCCTGAGTGCAAGAGCCAGGAGGAAGCCCCGAGCATCACCAGGTGCAGCCCAGAAGCCAAAAAAAAAAAAAAAAAAGGAAAGAAAATTTAAAATGTCAATAGATATTGGATTAAAGAATTTGTACCCCAATGTTAATAGCGGTTCCATTATTAACACGGGGGGGAGGGTAAAACCACAGAGACTTTGACCATTTCTCCACCTTTTTCCAAGTTTCCAACATTTCTAAGGATCGGTTTCATAGTGAATGAATGGGGAGGGGGGGACGACACAATAAAATTTTTCTTTTAGAACCTCCCCTTGGTCGCGTCCCTTACAGTTCATCCTCCTTCCGTCCCTCCCTGCCTCCCCCAGACTTCCAGCAGCTGCCCAGCATGACCAGCCCTTGCTGGGCCTCTGCCCGTCTGCAATGAGCCTTCCCCGCCCCGCCCCTGCCTTCTCGGCCTTCCCTCACCCAGCCTCGTCCCCAGCTTTCCTCCTGCCCCTCCACAACTGGTGGACGTTTCTTGTTGCTCCAAGGACACCAGGCATGGTCACAGCTTCTGCCCCTTTCAACGGCCAGTCCCCTGAGGCTCTCTGCTGCTCTCGCTGCTCTGTGCCCAGTACTCAGCACCTAGGTAAAACCCCGCGAGTAACACAGCCCTGTGTGCTGTGATTGCCGGGGTAGCCTGGTGAACTGTTAAGGCTCACCTGCTCTTCACACCCCGGAGAGAAAATGACCATCACCATCCCCGCGGCTCAAGCAGAGGCTTGGAGGGTGAAGCGGCTTCAACCGCACGGCAGAAGGGCTGGACTTGGGAACCTGCACTCGGGACCTGCCTCTCAGCCCGCTCCATCTGCCAGCAGTGGACCAAGGACCGAGAACCCAGGCTCTGCCTCCACCCAGCAAGGCTGCAGGGGCCGAGGACGGCCCAGGAACACCCAGCCCCGGCCCTGCCCGCGCTGTCCAGAAATCCCTCCATCGCCCAGGTCCACCCGCTGCTCCCCTGCGCTCCCCTCCCGGCTTTCATCCCTGTGGCTCAGCCCGGTTGCCATGGAGACAAGGCCCACTTGCCAAGCCGGCAGAGATGGTTGGTGGGTTGGCGAGTGCGCAGGCATCTCTGGGCTTAGGGGGCACAGGCTGGGTGTTTCCAAGCGCTGCTTACTTCCTGCCATTTTAATTAGCACCCCAATCACCAGCTCACTTCACAGCTTGAATTAACCCAATCTCGCCCGGCTGCCCCATCTGGTGGGGTGGATGAAACGGCAATGAAGCAATGAACGGAGCAAATAACAGCCCCCTAGGCCCGGGTTCCAGGTTTAATAGCACTGGGCAGGGCTCTGCAGTACGGCAGGACAGGAGACCGAGGATGGGGGAGTCTGGGTGGCCTGGGGGAGACTGGGGGAGTCTGGAGAGTCTGGGGGAGACTGGGGGCTGGAGGAATCTGGAGGGAGAGGGGGGACTTGAGGAGAGAGGGGTTCTGGGGGAATCGGGGGGAGACTGAGCTCTTCATGGCAAGCAGGGTACTGGGGTTCTAGGCCCTTCTTGGCCTCCCCTCCGGTGGCTAGCAAGTCCACAGGCTAGTCAGGCTCACTTCACACCCGACTTCCTTGTCTCTAAGAACCGAAGTGGGCCAGAGCAGGGCAGGCAGGGCAGTTACCGTGCACACAGCCAATGCAGGTTCTATCTCAGGCAGCATCAATGATCCCCTGAACACAGAGCTCGGAGTGATCCCTGGGCACTGCCGGATGTGGCCGTAAAACAAAGACCCGGAGCACAGGGCCCACGGGCACGCCCAGGGTAAAGGGGGTGGGGGGCTGACCTCTTAAGAGCACGCTGAGAAGCCCCCTACTCTCAAAGCCAGACAGGACCCCGGAACCCAGGTGGATGGGAACACGGGGAAGGGGTGGGCACAAGGCTGACTGGAGTCCACGCTCACCAGAGGCCCCCAACTCACATCTGCTGCTGCCAGAGGGACACCAGTGAGGCCCCAAGGCCACCCAGCCCAAGATAAAGCACAAATTTGCACCCTGTGTGGCATTTCTTTTTGGGCAGAAGATGAAGAACCTTAAGAACGGGCGGGGCGGGGTGGGGCGGGGCGGGCCACCCCTGGCAGTGGTTTTGCCTCATTCCTCAGGTGCGGGAGGCCAGGGTGGGGCCAGGGAGGCCCGGAGCTGGCTCATCTCCTGCCTCCCGCTAAGTGCCAGCAAACCCCAGGAGGGGGGACCCAGAGAAAAAAGGGCCAATGCAGAGTGGGGCTGCCCAGGCTCCTTCACCCTGGGACCGACACTCCCATCACTTGCCCAGGCTGAAGGTGCCCTCCGGGGGCTCAGGGGGCGGGTGGGCAAACAGGAGCGGCGCCGCACCCCTCCCCTCCCCTCCCCTCCCCTCGGAGGAATTTCCTCGGAAGGCAGAAATGCGCTGATTGCTCTCCCGTGCCAGGCGCTCTGCCCAGCGGGTAGTGGGCGCCCACCTTGGCCTCTGCTTTCTGCTCCAGGCTGCGCCCTCCCGCCCATGAAAG